TAGTTATTAAAAAAATTATACAATATACTGTCGGGAATAAAATTAAGTGGACAGGTAACGTAAAATTTAATTACTAGATTGCACTTTTGTATCTAAAAAAGAAAAAGCTCTATTTTTGCAAAAAATTTTTACTGTATAACGTACAATTAAAACTAAGTAACTGGTTCTAAAAAATAATTTACCATAAAACAAATTATTCACATTGCTTTTTTACTGGAACTGATTCAACATTTGATAATTTAGCAGTTACCGTTGCTAAAAGTTCTGGTGATATATTTACAGGTGTAATATTGGATTTTTCGATATCTTGAGAATTAACGTCGGAACTAACCATGTAAACTTGTAAAACACTTTTACCAGGTTCCTCTGGTGATTCCTTGGATAAAATAACCAAAGATCCTGGTTCTACATCAGCGATATTTGGTATGACTGTTTTAATTGAATTTGTGTGATGAGATTCTGAATCAACATTAGTATTGTCAAAAAATAAATTCTCTGCAACTTTTGCATTTTCTTCCGGTGACATTGTAATTTTATCACCATGAAGACAATCTAATTCTTCATTATCAAGTGTATTTATATCTGGCCCTTGCAATTTCTTTACTTTTGGAAATCTTCCAGATCTTGTTGGTTTTACATTATAAACTTCTGTATCACTATCGGGACCATTGTATGAACTTAATGAATCTACATCATCTACTTCAATCAGTGATTTTTCTGACAGCTTATTCTTCTCTTTTGACATTTTTTTATCGACATTATTCAATGTTTCTTGGTATTCACAATTTATTTTAGTATTTTCTTTATGTACCATTAAGTTCAAACCATATTCTTCTTCATCTTCTTTGTCTGATATATCCATTTCTGCAATACTAGATGCTACGATTCCTAAAAATAATTTAATAAACTAGTAATATATATAAACATAAGAAAAGTGTAACAAACATTTAATATTCATCCAACTTACTAGATTTTCGTCTTCTCTTTGATTTTATATTCTTTTTGTCTTTTCCTTTCTGTTGTCTTCGTTTCTCTTGTGTAACGAACCCTTTTTCTTCTGAACTTTCGAACGTGGCTATTAATAAACAATTAAAATTACATTAATGAGAAAGTCACATTCTTTAATAATTATAAATGCCATTTTAAATTTTATTATGAGACATATATATTAAATGGATCAAGGTACAAAGGAACATAGAGTTTCTCAATTCTTACTTGCATCTTAATATTAGTAATGTTAAATTTACCTTATCTTTTAAGATTAGTTTTGCAAACAAACTTTTATGTAATTACAAAACATGTATTTTTAAAGATGTCTCATATAAAATAAGTAAATATTTGATTTAAAAAAATCGAAAATATATAATTTAAATTTACCTAATGATTTTTCTAGAATTTCAGTGTCAAATTCTTGATGATATGCAAGTGCCTTTTCAACCAAGTTTCTGTTTACTTTTTCTTCTTTCTTAAATTTTATTTTAATTTCTTGCCTTGTTCTATTTGGAAAAAGACTTTGCATCAATAAGAAATCTGTGCCAACTGTATTTAATGCTTTATAAAATTTTAATGTTTCCAATTTAGACCACTCTTTACTTTTTTGACGTTTTTTATAAAAGCCATTCCCACTATTATCATCATCAATAATAGCTTCCTTTGATAATACTTCCCTACTTTTTTTTGCATTTGTTTGTTCTATAACAAGACTTTGTTCATCTATGATTAACTGACCATTAGGTCCAACTTTTACTTGAGGTACAGGCATTGCAGATGATGGATCATCTTCATTTTCTTCTTCTTCTTGAAATTCCTCAGGTCTATAATAATGAATTTTGTTGTATCGTATTGTTATTTTATAAAATTCCTTTTCAAAAACATTTTTTCATTAGTATTTATTTTTTACTATAAAAATGTTTATTTGTATTTATTTCATAAAATACTTACAGGTATTCTATAGTTTTTCTTGTTGTCACTGTAGATTCCTTAGATTTTTTCATAGGATTAGTGACAGGATTATAATATATTAAATCATACATTGTAAGTTTGCTTCTATCTGGAGTTTTATTTTCATGCTTTAACTGAAACTCCTTTCTAGCCTCTGCTAGTTTTCTTGCAGATTCTGAAATTAGAATACGTCTCTTCTGTCCTACTTTTGATGTTGTTAAATTATTCTTGATGTTATTAGTCACAGTATCCTTTGCAGTTTGAATTAATGGTATTAAATCATTTCTTGTATTATTGGTATTAGTGCAAATTACTCTTTTACTATCATCTTCAGATTCACTTGCACTTGCTCCACTTCCTTGTATACTGTTTTTTCTTACTTTTTCACCACTATCAAATTTTGGTATTGGTTTCATAAAGCCTAATCGATTTTGCATTAATTTTATAGGAGAAGCTAAAAAATTACAAAATATTTGAATAATTCTTTATTTCTTAATACCTTTGATTTCTTCAAAACTTTTAATATGAAACTCTTTAATTATACTATGATAAAACCTAATACATTATCTTTCAATTCATATAAACATAAAATATTACACAAAAACTGTTAAATTTAACTATAATGATAATGCATATAGTAAATTATAAGCAATAATGCTTAAGCAGCATTCATAAGCAGCTCACCATATTTCTTTTTAATACTTACAGGTTTGTGTTGTGCATACAATTTCAGATGGCTGTACAATCTCTTTTCTTGATTCTTCAAAATTTTGTATAGATTCATCTGTATATTCATTATTTAGATAATCAACATCTAATTGTTCATTTTGTAATTGTTTCACTCCATCTAAACTTTCCTGCATTTGCTTTTCTTGATAATTATTTTCTGAAATTTGTTGTGATGTCATAGAAATATCATTAAATATATTTTTACCTTTCTCATTGTGCTCAATTAAATTAGTAATTTCATTAACAGGTGCAACAGGTGTTGCTTTTCTGCGAGTTGGAACTGTAACCATAGCCTTTATACGTGCACGTTTCATTTTGCTCATATATAAAGTTATTAAAATCTGTAAACATCATTGAATATTAAAATTTACATAACCATTTGTACATATTAATACATTACAAATATTACTTTGATACAATTAAATAATAATTAAATTATCTTATTAATTTCATAATTTAACATCTTCAATGTTAATAATGTTATATATTCAAATAATAGAAATATCATATTAAGTAATGGACATTGGAACATCTTTAAAAGTTTGACTCAAAACAGATAATATTTTGTAAAGTCAATATTTCATTTAAAAATCCATATTTTAAAACTTAATGTACAAAATATTTTTGAAATTAATATTCAAATTTTGAAAGGATATTTTGAAGAGTGAAGAGAAATATGATAAAAGGTTTGTTGCTAAAGAAATATTACATGCTAAATACTGTAAACACATAAATTAATGTATATGATGGCCATTGCATTTGGTTATGTTAAGTTTTGACACAAAATAAAATTTCAGCCAGTATTACTTTATGATTTTTGGTTATACGTTTACTTACCAATAACAGTTCTCATAAGTATCGTATCTGAAAGTAAACTAGGAACACTACTTCACCTTCAATTATTAGTTTTTTTTAATACTGAAAACAAAAAAATAGTTTCAATTAATGTTATCATTTACTAGATTAATACATTCTTATTTACTTCATTTTTCAATTACATCAAAATATTCTTCAAGTTTTTAGTTACTAAAATCTAGTTACAATTGATTTAAAAATTAATAATGTGACATCCACGCTCCGCGATTTATGCAAACCAACCACGAGGTCTACACACTGTAATTCTCAAGTGAATCTACCCTCCTTAATTTCAACACACTTACCCATATACACTGAGGTGCATCGATCTTTGCCGAATCCCTAGCTAACTTAACGCACAGCGGTGATGGTCGTGTGTGAAATGGCATACGATGCGTAAGTGAGGTGCGCGAAAATTATTCTGATACTAACCGCTCAACAATTCGCATCGTAGCGACTGTATATTGCACATGTAGAGAGATACATCGATTATATTGCTACTGATGAGCTACTGATTACGACTAATGCCTTAGAAATAAATATATCTCAAACTCATAGCACTGAATGTGGCTTGTCTCGGATCACTGAATGTGGCCTAAACTGATGTATTCAAATATTCTATTATTCGAAATATACGAAATATTCAGCACAATCTGAAATTCAAACACTTTCGACTAATCGAAGTTTTACAGACTTCATGAAACTATTGCAAATAGATTGCTAAAATTCTCCCGATGAATTTAATATAATTTCTTATAACATTCTTTCCTTTAAAATAACATTATCTGCTAGTGAAACCCTATAATAATTTTATATTTAATTCAAAATAA